GGCTGCCAAGCGACTTTAGCGGCGGCAGCGCTGGATGACAGCAGGGTTCGGATCTTGATTCCTCGATGTACCATCCCATCAGTCATGCGAATAGCCTCAGGCCCGAGCTCTACAAATCATGATGGATCGTGCTTCAGTTCCCACGGGTAGCTTGAAGCCAACTCTAGGCGTGGGACATGTTGTGCTTCTTCAGGAAATCGAAAGCGAGCCAAAGCATAGCCTTTTCAGGGACCCACGACACGACGCTGTCTTGGACTTCAGCTTAGTTCCCCCCCACAAAAAAGGCTAGGAACAGTCTTGATCATGCGAAGAGTTCCTTAGTTCTTCGACATGCAGCTACTCGCAGCAGGGAACCCCAAAATTGTGAATTGTGGTCATTCCCCTTGAGCCTGTTAGGCAGGAGGCCACCGCTAGTAGGTTGGAGGCCATCACTAGCAGGTTGGAGGCCATCGCTAGTAGGTTGGGGGCCATTGTTAGTATTAACTAGGTTGGAGGCAGCTGAGACACTTTTTTCCAAGGTCTTCTATGCAACTTTCTGAGCTGCCCCGACCATGACCATCCGGCTTCCCCTCACAGCACACCTGACGAGGACTCACAAACAAACTGGCTGCCAAAGCTACTAAAGCCAAAAATCAGGCAAACAACAAATAGTCTCTTTGAAAAAACATGAACAAGCAAAACCCATCCGGGACGTCTCACCTTGACAGTGGTTAGGCCCATACCTTTGAAGATTTCCCTCACGGACTCCTGAAAGAGTTTCAATGTGTCCAAAAATGAGTGACACCAGGATGCAAATGTTGCAACCATGGAGGCTGCTGAATGCAGACCCTGGTCTGCCCCTCCTCATCAGTGTTGGCACGCAACCCACTGACAAAGACCTCACCTCAAAAGCCACAAGCGTAAAGTTTAAAGGCCTTTCTTGCATCGAAAGGCCACTTGGAAGACAGTGCGCAGTGCGGCTCAGGAACGGTTGTCAGCAGGAATGTTCAATGGGTTTACTTTCCCACCCGGCGGGGGTGGGAAGGCGCCCTTGCCCATCTGCAAACAGCTTGCGCAAAGCCGAGAAATGCGTTCAGAATGTGCTAGCAATACGAAGAAACAGGATTTGGCCTCAAGAGCCCAAAGGAAAAAGGAAAAAAGGAAAGCAGAAGGGTCAAAAGGGGCAAAGTTTGCTGAAGGGCGGAAAGGAGTCTAGAAGGGTATCGCTGCTAGGGGCTCCCGGCACCGCTACTAGGAGCAAGGACGCTACTAGGAGTTTCCAAAGGCTGCTGGCCTTCGTGTCCGAGAACTCTGGTGGAGCTCGGTCATTGTCCGCAAACTTCACCTGGTGCGCAGACATTCTACTAGAGACGGCCTCCAACTTAATAGAATTGGCCTCCAACCTACTAGAGATGGCCT